AAAATATAAGTATAACCTAAGCTGATTTATTATTTTTATAAAATGGCACCCTGAGATTGTTTTTTTATGTGATTTGCGACACTTAGATAATTAATTAAATAATTAATTAAAGTAATTAAATAAATAAAAAAGTTAAATAAAAAGTAAGAAATGGCAGATCATAATTATATCACATATATATATATATATATATATATATATATATATATATATAATATATATATATATATATATATATATAGTGCTTTTCAGATAAAACTATCCACCTTAAATAACTTTTGAACCTCTAATTTTTTGGAAAAACGCAAAAAGACGTCAATTAATATCTGAAGGGGGAGACATAATATCATATTAAAGGTTGCTAGAAAATGCACCATCTCACCCCCTGTATCAACCCTTTATTTTTTTTAAATTACTTCCCCCTTTTTTTGTTTTATATTTGGGTTCTCCTTTTTGTTCTGATTTCAATAATGTATAATACCTTTGGCTTAAAGTGATTAGTTTATCAGATAGACAATTTTCCTGTTAACAAGACAGTATCTCCCTCACCTTAATTGACTCTAACAAAATAGGTTGTAGCATAATTTAAACTCTTTAAATATTTAACCGTACTATTTGTAGTACCTTTAAAAACCAAGAGACAAAAAATTTCACGTTTTATTCAAGTTTTATCAAAGGTTTTCGATATCATTTTTACATTTGTTTTAATCGGTTAATAGCGACAATTTGTTATAACTTGTAAGTAACAGCTTATTTTGATACGTGTGCAATTTGATCGCTGAAATGGTGTACACTTTGAAAGAAAGAATCGAAATTGTAGGTTTATACTACAAAAATAATAATTGTGCAAGAGCTGCTGCTAGAATTTTTAATGAAACACACCACAATAGACATGCAACTCATAAGTGTGTGATTGAACTGATGCAGAAAAAATTAGATCAAGAGGGTCAGTTTGTAATAAAAAACATAACCGACAGGAACTTGTAAATAAAAAAGCAAACCAAGTAGCTGTTTTAGGGCAAGTTAACTTAGACTCTTAACAATCACAGTCACTGTCAACAATAAGCAGAGCAATCGGTGTTTCATCTTCTACAGCCTTCCGAGTCCTCCATAAATTTAAGTTTTATCCATATAAAATTAAATTAGTACAAGAGTTAAATGATAAAGATTTTGATCGTCGTTCCGAATGTTGCGAATTAATGATAAAATGCATCATTAACAATGCACAATTGTTAAGCAATATTTGCTTCTCGGATGAATGCTCATTCTCATTAAACGGTTTGGTAAACAGATAAAATTGCCGATACTGGGCTGAGAGTGATCCACATATTGTACGCGAATTTCACACACAGCATCCTCAAAGGTTAAACGTATGGTGTGGTATCCTACGTAATCACATTATCGGACCCTTCTTTATCACTGGAAACTTAAATGGTGCATCGTATCCTAAATTATATAGGCAAGTGGTTGATCGTTAGAACAATAGTAGCAAAGGATGATAACCTTTCCGATGATTTGGTTGTATTTCAACATGATGGAGTTTCTCCACACTTTGCTTTACCTGTGCGATAATTTTTAAACGAAACGTTTCCCGGTCCTTGGATAGGTAAAAGACGACAGATGATCGATTGGCCACCTAGGTCACCGGTTTGAACACCCCTAGACTTCTTCTTATGGGAGTATTTAAAAACAAAAATTATGCTACTCAACCAGAATATCTAGATGATTTACAACAAAGAATAGAGGATGAATGTCGACAATTAAATGCAGACATGTTAAGCAATGTCAGAGAAGAATTTCAAAATAGATTTTACTATTGTATGGAAGTGAAAGGCAGTCATTTTGAACAATTATTGTAAAAATTTTTAGTAGTGAAATGTTTGTTCTAAATGTGTGTAATAAAATTGTTAAAAAATAATTTTTTTTCAATCCAATTTTCTTGCTTTTGTATTTACTTTTCTCGTAAACTAATCACTTCAAGTATCATGTATTATACATTTCTGAAATCAGTACAAAAAGGAGAATCCAAATATAAAATAAAAAAAGGGGGAAGTAATTTAAAAAAATAAAGGGTTGATACAGGGGGTGAGAGGGTGCATTTTCCAGCAACCTTAAATATGATATTATGCCTCCCCCTTCAGATATTAATTAAAGTGTTTTTTGCGTTTTTCCAAAAAATTAGAGGTTCAAAAGTTATTTAAGGTGGATAGTTTTATCTGAAAAGCACTATATATATATATATATATATATATATATATATATATATATATATATATATATATATATATGTATATATAATACGAAAGAAAATAATACAAGCCCTGAACAAAAAATATAGAACAAGCATAAATAGGAGAATCAGAAAATAGAATTATGTGTACCAAAAAACTGCCCAACAATGCTCTTAAAATCATTTTCATATTTTATCAGAAAGATTTAAATAAAAGAATGTGACTTACCAATTATTATAAACTGAAGATATTACACTATAATTTATGTATGTAAGTACTTGAAAATGCACCAATACAATGTTATGTTCTACACAGGCATCTAAACTAACTGTGGATCAATATTTAAACACATTACACTCTTCGTGAAATTTGCGTTGCTTGTCTCTCCTGTCTCAGCTATCTATGCCCAATAAAAACCAAGCAGCTGGAATGAAGACACAGCAAAAAGACCTTCGAATCTAATGATTCACGCTGCAAAAACTTCCATGCTAATTAATTTCGATAATATTATACATAACACACAATTAGATAATATGAGATTACAGAAGAGGAACAAGCTTAAAAATTGTAGTACAGGGACTGACCAATCTATACAAAAATTTTTTAATGATAGAGTATTAACGTTTATTTTGATGACTTACATGGCCTGCACATCTCCATTCTTCCCTTATTACTTTTTTTTGTCTTTTTGTACGTGGTTCTTTAGTTTAATTCCTTATATTGATTTTTACATTTTCTTTTGTGATATTCTTTGTTTATTTACATTTTTTGTGGTAAAAAATCATATTTCAGACCCATTTGTTATAAGTTATAACTGGAGGCAATCATTGATTGTATATCATTCTCTTAAGGCTTATAGAGATTTTTGACAATTGGCTAACTGTAGATCTTTCATTCATTGGTGATACCAATTCCAGAATTCTGGAACTTTGTACTAGCTTCTACAGGTCTAGTTGATGGGAACCATATGTTTTTGAAGTCACTTGGTACTCTCTGAAAAGTGTTTGCCGCCTGCGATCAAATGCCTCGCAGTCATGAAAATTAGTATTTTAACTATTTCAAGTTCTCTGCTAATAGTCTGCAGCTCAAGTCTTATTAAAAGCGCCCTTACAAAAAGAGTCAGTCCTATTCTTGACCATATCTAAATTATGAAAATTTATTGGCCATTGAAGGACCTCACCTGAATTCTTCTCAAATTATGAAAATTTATTGACAATTGGAGGACCTAACATCTAATTGGGAGGATACACAAGCAGCCCATCGATGCCATAAGTATCATTCTCACTAATTCATTGTTAAACATTGGCAGGATTGATTGTTTTTTATTTATTTTTTTCTTATTAAATATGATTAGTTAAAAATTGTTTTAATTTGCTATCAGCTAAGGGTTCTGGTTTGATTCCTAGTTTAAGACAAGACGAATTCACATTTGAGATACTGAGCTAGGCAAGGCATAGACGATAAGCTCCCATGGTTGATTGAGATATTATTTTTATAATAGTACTTCAATTCTCTTATCGTTACACATTGGCGCATGCCAAGGAAAGACATTTGGTTTGTTGTGATTCTGTGCTGATATTTGCTTGTTTTCCACAGTACTTCAGTCCTCTTAATGGATGGATATACATTTTATCACGCGAATGGTGCTTTTTTGCACTATTAGAACCGGCTCTGGACCGAAGTATTTTGTATCTAGTCGTCTTTTAGCAAGTTCATCAGCTCTTGCATTGCCTTGTATTCCTCGATGACCTGGCATCCATAAAGTGGGAGACAGGCATATATGTTTAGTCCATCTATCGAACTAGAGCCTTCTGAGAGTCCCCATAGCTGCTTTATTATCTGTGCATATACTTTTCCGATTAATTCTAAAATACAAGGGTGAATAAATCTCTGACTGGAATACAGAGGTATGTTCGCTTAGTAAGATAGAAATGTTCCACCACTACTGAATATTCCTACACCCGACCCTTCTGCAGTTTTAGACGCGTCTCAGTGTTACCAGACCTAGGGAATTTTTCCTATACCTAGGGAATTTTAAGCCAGCTTAGGGAAAAGGGGATTTTTGTTCAATTCTATGAAAAATCTTAATATTTGTAAGACTATTTTAAAAAATCTGTTGGATTTAATAAACTTTCCAAAAATGTATATATATCATCTGTGTTCATGTGATTCCCCGTCGGTGACTAGAGTGATGGTATTTCACGAACGGCGAATTACGACGGAGATCCCCCTGGGCTAAAATACCTAAAAATAATTTAATCTATTCTTCAACTAAAAGTACGAATAAAATAGTGCATATTATGTCTATAGTTGCAGTAAATAAATTAAACCGATTTAATTTTTCTATGCATACCAGATAAAAGTCATTGAACAGCACTGGTTCCGTTTAAAACATGGCTGATTCTGTCGGCGCGAACGAGATGCGCGTACTTATTTTTTCAAGCAGAGTGGGCATTCTGATTGTTTATTATTCTGTGGCTAAATATGGTTGTAAAGTTGTTAGGGAAATTTTGGCAAAAATTCTAGGGATTCTAGGGATAGGATCGCGTCTGTATACCAGGTATGACCCTGCAGTTTTCAGTATAGCTCAGGATATGTCTATCGTTGGTAAGTCTAGCTATCAACCCATCTATGAACAGATTCCACAAGAGGAAAGATAAGACTCCCCCTACAGGCAGCCTCTGGTTACCAACATTTTTAGCATGCATTATGTCATTGCTTTGTATATATTATAATAACATAGCTTACTATCTCTTTCTCTATTTCTAGGATACAAAAACTAGTGCATTGAAAAAATCTAGTCGGTATAGAAGTCGTTCACTTTCGGCATCTTCAACAGATTCGTATAGTTCAGGTAAATATGAAACATGGTTCTACAAATCTTTAACATATTTCAATATAGCAGATATCGATTAGTAAAACAGTATCAACATATATTTAATTCGTTATATTTGGCGTTTCGATTTCTGCATCGAAAATAGTTTTCCAAATACAAAACCGTTTTCAAAGTACAACATTTTCGAGATGAAACACGAAGCAACAAATATAATGTGTTTTCAATTAAAATTTTAGTTTATGCCCAATATACAGGGTGTTTCAAAAAGGTATATAAATTGATTAAATCCAACTTACCTTAGTACAAAAGTTTAAACAAAAAAAGTTACAGCCCTTTTGACGTTACAAAATAATCAAAAAAGAACTGCAAATAATTATCACCATTTACATTGTTGGGAAGAAATACTAGGCCTATTAGATTGTCATCCACAATTCCTGCCCAAACATTAACTTTGAAAGTTCTTTGGTGATGAGTCGTTTTTTTTTATGTGGGGATTTTCGTCGGCCCAAATGTGCTCGTTATGATCGTTTGTTATTCCATTTCTACTGAAGGTAGCCTCATCGGCAAATAAAATATTTCTAATAAAATTAACATTTCGAGTGTTTTCCATTAACAACAAATCGCAAAATCCAATCCTTTTAGGATAATCTTCAACCAATAGCTCTTGAACCGTTGTTAAGTGATAGGGTTTAAGCAGCTGATCCTTCAAACCCTTACGTGAGGAACATTTAGTTGAACAGCTATAACCCTTGTACTTGTTCCAGGGACTTCTTCAATGATTTCTAAAATGTCTTCATCAGTTGCATCCATTATTGGACCACCACTATTGCCAGCAACTTGCGGTTGGAATGTACCCGTTTCCCGTAAACGACGATCAATGGTCAGAAATAATCGTCTATGGGTTGTATTTCGATTATGGTATTTTACTGCATATCGCCTTGTGGCTGCTGCACTGTTTCCTTGACATTCACCTACGATATTCCCGATAGTGTATTGAAATCATTATTTAATCTGATCTAATTTACCCAAAGTTAAATGCATATCTGCCATTTCCCAAATGTGTAGGCCATTGTAATATCAAAATTTTTAATATTAATCCTATTCACACAATAAATGATAGTTTCAAATTATTGACTATTACTGATGGAACTGTTTGTAATTATTGTATCCGTAGAAACTAATTGTAATTTTATGGCCAACTAGGAAAAACCTAGTTTTTCGAAAAAGTGATGAGGCAAAACAGTTTTAAAAATGTGTTAAACTAATGATGCCACAAAATTCATTTGATTTGAACGTACTCAAAAGTTTGGGGGGATTTAGGGCTGCACACCCCCCTTAAGTGTCTATTTTTATTACAAAATGTCAAGTTGTTTAGGAGATAATGCAAAAAAACAATTTTTATTTTGTAACTTCAAAGGGCTGTAACTTTTTTTGTGTAAGGGAAGGACGTCGAAGATGACGCACCTAAGCAAAATACATTTTATTTAAGGGTAAAAAATATTTAAGCTAACTTTGAATGCTACGAGCCTGTAATTTGGACATTTCTATAACCAATTTCTAGGATTATTTTTAAATTCAATAAAAGGAAGTATTTTTTATGCGGCTTTTTTAAAAAACGCTTTTGCGCCATCTTACCTTCCACCGAGGGAAAGATGACGCACAGTGATGGTGAAGATGGCGCATGTAGGTATCTATATTAAAAGCGCAAGTGATATGAAAAGAAAATTTATTTTTTAATACTGAAAGTAAGAAAATGTAAACAAAGCTTTTTTAACATATTAACAAAAGTCACAAATGTAGTTTTCGGGACTTTTGGCTCCACTGCATTCTTTATGCACCCATTGTCCACAACTTGTGCATCTGAACCATGTTTCCGTCTTTTTGCCGAAGTCTCCACATAATATGCAGATATCAGTTTCACCTCCCTAGTTGATTATGTCATCCAACTCATCGTCATTGCAAAGACCTTCTTCATCAAAATCGCTTTCTTCAGTATCGCTATCCTCCAAGATTTTTTTGTTTATTTTTTGTTTGAATATTTTTTGTACTTTGGCTTTCCCTTTATTTTTATTTAGTTTTAATCCTGCATCATTAACCAATACTTGTCTGGTTACTTTTTTCTTTCCTTCTTCCGACTTCGCCAGTTTTTCTTTTTTTTTATTCTCTTTTTCTTCTAAGAATTCTTTTAAAGGGGTGCTTGTTAGAATTTCAGAATGTTGCTTTTGTCGTCCATATTTTCTTTTAATTTTTTTTTGGGCAAAGGAACTGGAGAAATAAGTGAAAGAGAAATATGTGAACGTTTGATTTCATTTTGTTTTGTGGGGGTTGTGTGACGACTTTCAGGAGACTGTCGGCTAGTTGATGGACGTGGTAATTCTGGTTCTCTTATAGATGGTGTTGTTATTAGTGGAGGTGTTCCCTGAGGTGCAGGTTCAGGAGAAACATCTCTATCCAAGCTATCATTATTTAAATTATCAGCAGGAAAAAAGTCATCTTCTGTGAACTTATCAGAGTTTAACGGAAAAATTCCGCACGTTCCGAAACTAGAAACGGCCTTATCAATATTTGCCACCTGATCATATGCTAACTTAAAAATCTCGGCGACATCATATGGAGTAATTTTATCTTCAAACTCTGAGTTGCTGATCTTAGATTTTAGAAAGGAATTGCAATGGCGGCCATACGCATATTTTAATGCAGAAAAAAATGACACATCAAGAGGTTGTAATTTGTGGGATGTGTGGGGTGGAATACTAACCATTATAATCCCATTCTCTTTGCAGTAATTATAAATATCCAGTGAAATATGGCTCGAGTGATTATCTAATACTAACAGCACGGGATTATCTGGACTAGACAGAACTTTTTTTTTTGGAAATGCTTCAGCCATAATAAAAACATAGACGTATTACTCCATCCATTATCCATTTGTCCATTTTTCTAAAGCTGTGGGCTCATCCTCTTCCTGGGAAATATAAATAATGGAGGTATGTAGTTACCGGAGGCACTGAACGCCATTATTACCGTGATATTCTTCTCTCGTTCCCACGAAGAAATGATTCCAAACTGCTTTACTCCTTTGGGTCCAAGTCTTTTACATGATTCTTTAGGAACCGTAGATATACCGGTTTCATCAAAATTGTAAATGCGATCTGGCAGAAATTTATATTTTTCTTGCACTGTTTCCAAATATCACCTACTCCCATGAATATGAAGAAAATCCAATGGAACCATTTTTAAACAACTTACCATTAATATTCGCAGTGTCAAAAATAATAAGAAATCAACGTGTATCGTGTTACTCACAGATTGCATACAGATAACGTGTATCGCGTTACTCATCGCGCCTCACAGATACTAAACAGTACGAAAGCTGACCGATGAAGTTTTAAAGTAATAGTAGTTTCTAAAGGAGGGCGCCACGGGTATAAAAACTGAATTTAGTGAAGTACTTGATAAAATACAGAGGTGCGTCATCTTAGATGCTGCGTCATCTTCTCCGTCCTTCCCCTACACTTTTGTACTAAGGTAAGTTGGATTCAATCAATTTATTTTTGTCCCCGGAATGCGTGATTTAATTTATGACATACTTTTTTGAAACACCCTGTAATATTGTAGATAATATAGAAATGCCATATGACAATAGTTTTGCAGCCATATTAACGTCAAACAGAGTAGAAAAATATTTTTTTTCTTTTATTTTTTTTTTAACGTATGGTCCTAAAGTTTTGGGAAAATTTTCACCTGGTCTGATTGAGAAGCAAAATGCATTTAACAAAGAAGGCTATGGAATTTAAATGTCATCAGTTATTGACATTTAATAAACAAAGCAGAATATTTTGATTTGTGCTCTGCAAAATATCTTATAAAATTGATATTTGTCGAGGTGTTTATAATATGGTTGGGCGAATATCGAAACGAGATATTGTTAATATTTATCGAGATCAAAACATAAGCAAATCGACAATTTATCGCACAGTGAAGAAGGGATACCATGTGTTAACTTGCGTAAAAGTGGCCGACCGCGGATTTTGAACCATATAAGAGAAGTAAGACTGATTGAAGCAGCTAAGAACAAAATTGGGGTCTCACAGCGAAAACTGGCCAGAAGATTTTATGTTGGAAAGACTACAGTATACAGCACCCTATCGAGTAACAATATTATCTACCGGAAAAGAAGGAAAGCTCCAAAATACACAGAGGATCAATTAGAGAGAATTCTGAGATGTTGCCGCGCGTTAAGGCGAGTGCATTTCGTCAACAAGTTGATCGTGATGGATGATGAAAAATATTTTACTTTGTCCAACTCTGAGATGAAGGGTAACGATGAGTTTTACACGAACGATTACGAAAATGTACCTGATGAAATAAAATTCAAAAGTAAGAAAAAATTTGAGGACAAAATTTTGGTATGGTGTGCAATTTCTGAGGCTGGCTTTATCTCACAGCCCTACATTAGTGTTGTTCGAGGCGAAGCCTTAAACGCAAATATTTATATTCAAAGATGTCTCGCTAAATTGCTTCAGTTTGTGAACACACATCATGCAAATGATCAAATAGTCTTTTGGCCAGATCCTGCTTCTTGTCATTACGCGATGATAACAAGGGACTGGTACGAAACTAACAACATTACTTTTGCACCGAAAGCAGACAATCCCCCCAACCTACCTCAGGCTCGTCCAATTGAAGAGTTCTGGGCAATATTAAGTCGGAAAGTCTATAATAACGGATGGGAAGCACAAAATCAGGAACAGTTAAGACGCCGCATATATACAAAAATTAGAGAAATTGACGCCGAGGTCGTCCAAAGGATGATGCAACGTATCAAGGGAATTATTAGGCAAATCGAAAGGGAATTATTCGAAAATAATGGTCCCTTGTCTGTTATTTGAATTTTGATTTATAATAAGGATTCTTCTTCTTCTTGTGTCGTCTTCTAACGAAGGTTGGCGATCACTTCTTTAAACGCTTCTCGATCTTTTGCAACGTGAAATATCTGTTCAACACTGAGGTTAGTCCAATCTCTGATATTCCTCAGCCAAGATTTCTTTTCTTCCCAAGCCTTTTCTTCTACCTACTCTACCTTGCATGATGCCTTTTAGCAGAGAGTATTTATCGTTTCGGAGTATGTCGCCCAGATACGATGTTTTTCTTATTTTAATTGTGTTCATAAGCTTTCTGCCATGTCCAACTCGTCTTAACACTTCCTCATTTGAGACTTTTGCAGTCCAAGGAATCTTAAAAATACGCCTATATAGCCACATTTCGAACGCCTCCAATTTTTTTATAGATTGGGCTTTCAGAGTCCAAGCTTCTACCCCATATAGTAGTTGCGACCAAACATAACATTCGACGAACCTCAATCTGATGGCCATACTCAATTTCTTATTTGTAAACATTGACTTGTATTTTATAAAGCCTTTTCGAGCTATTTCTATTCTGACCTTTATCTCCTGCTCTTGATCTAACTGTGAGTTTATAATTGCTCCGAGGTATTTATATTTGTCGACTCTCTCTAGGGGTTTACCCTCCCAATGTCAGTTGTATGTTGTCAACAGGGTTTTTTGAGATCACCATGTATTTGGTCTTATTTATATTCATTGTTAGTCCCAACTTTTTGCTTTCTCTGTTAATGATTTCCAGGAGAGTTTGTAAATCGTCTATATTCTCTGCCATGATTGCGGTATCGTCTGCAAATCTTATGTTATTAATGATGCTATCTCCAATCCTTACACCTTCAGTTCTTTCCCATAGTGCCTCCTGAAATATTAGTTGGGAGTACACATTAAATAATTGTGGCGACAGCACACATTACTGTCTGACTCCTCTTTGAATTTCCACCTGGTTTGTCTCACTATCTTCCACCCGTACGACCGCTGTTTGATTGTAGTACAGATTTTTGATTAAATTAATATCCTTGGGATCTAGGTGTATGTGTTTCAATGCATGTATGAGTTTACCATGTTGGACTCTATCAAAAGCTTCTTGGAAATCTATAAAACATATGAATACGTTTTTATTATATTCCCTGCATTTTTGTAATAGTCCGTCATTGCGCACAGTGCCTCTCTTGTTCCCATTCCACATCTAAATCCAAACTGTATATTGTCTAATTGTTCTTCACATTCTTTATATATACGCTGCTGAATAACTTTGAGTAGTATTTTTAAAGTGTGGCTCATAAGGCTAATTAATCGGTACTCATCGCAAGATTTAGGATTATTTTTCTTGGGTAAGGGTAAAAAGATAGATTTTAACCATTCATCCGGGATTTGACCATCGTGGTATAGTTTATTAAATAATTTAGACACTCTATATTTTCATCATTCAGGATTTTTAATATCTCTACAGAAATTTCATCGGGACCTGGCGCTTTATCACTTTTTGAGATTTTAATTGCCTGTTTAACCTCTGATATCAGAATTTTTAGATTTTCATTAGTTGGTAATGTATCATTTATTTCTTCCCTATTATCTGCGAATAAGTCCTTGATGTATTTCTCCCAAGTTTGTTGTTTTTCTACTGCTGATAATTGGAGATTCCCCTTGGAGTTTCGTATAACTTGTGGTATTAGCTTCCGATTATTTCCTGTAATTTCTTTCAGTTTCTTATGTAGCCCATGTGTGTCGTGTTTCATATTAAGTTCTACTATTTCTCTACAATTTTCTACCATCCAGTGTTCTTTAGCTTCCTTGATCTGCGTTTCTACTAGTTTCTTCATTTGCTTGTACTTCTCTTTATTTTTATTTTGTATTTTCGTTTTTCTTCTATGAGGTTTATAATATCTGGTGTCATCCAGTCTTTTTTGGCAATTGGTTCTTTTTTGCCCACAAACGGTTTACCAGCGTTAAGTACTGCCGATTTCATTTCGTTCCAGGCACTATTAATATCTTTTTTTGACGCCTCTGCGAATGCTGGTGCAACTGCTTCATTTATTTGTTGTTGACATTTTTACCCTCAAGCTTTGACAAATCTAGTCTCTGAATTTTACTTTTTTTCTGTTGTTTTCTCAGTTTAATATTACCGTTGTCAGGAAGTAGATTGTGGTCGTAGTCTGCATCAGCACTAGGATATGTTTTAACACTTTTAATTCCATTTCTAAATCTTCTGTTGACAAGAATGTAATCGATTTGGTTTCTTATCAGATTATTATTGTTGTCTCCTGGTGCACTCCAAGTATAGAGTCTTCTTGGTGGTAATTGATAAAAGGTGTTTGTGATGACTAGTTCTTTCTTTTGACAATATTGTACTAATTGGTCTCCTCTTTCATTTCTAATTCCTAGACCATAATTCCCTACGATATCTTCTACTTTCCCTGTACCGACTTTGGCTTTAAAGTCACCCATTATTATGTTGACTTCATGTTTTTTTTGTTTTTCGTTAGTTGTTCTAAATCTGAATAGAATACATCTATGTCATTATCGGTGCTGCTTGATGTTGGAGCATAAATTTGAATTATGTTTATGTTTATTGGGTGGGTTTTCAACTGTAACATTATTATTCTTTCATTATAGGGAATAAAATTTGAGACATACGGTTGTAGTGCTTTTTTTTATTATGATTCCTATACCATTTTTGTGATCACCAGTACTGCTGCCCGAGTAATCAAGAACAATGTCGTTGTGATAACACTGTCCAGCACTGCGCCATCTTACTTCGCTAAAGCCAAGTATACCTATTTTAAGTCTGCTCATTTCTAGTGATACTGTTGCATAGTGTTGATAAAATAATAAGGATAGTTAAGTTAAATTGTTGAATAATTTAATAAAAATATAAGATTATTGTGGTCAGAGTTATAGGCTTTTGAAATTTTTCCCAAAACTTTAGGACCATACGTTATTTTAATACATACACTCTTTCGATATGTTTGGTGGTGTATGTATTCTCACACCACCAAACATTTAATATTAGCCCAAGCTGTAGAGAAAAAAACGTGTATAAATTAGTGAATTTTTGAAAGCAACACAGCGCCAGCGTTTTGAAGGACAATGCCTGGAGTAACCTCCAAGTGTTTGCAACTCCAAACTGTTGGTTATAATTTTTTATGGTACTTTTAAGGTGCAAAAAGGGTTGGGATCAGAGGGTTAATTGTCAAAAAGACCTTTAGCTTAGAGCGCCTAAACGACTTTATATAGAGGACCATGCGATATGTCATATGACAGGATTTAGCGAATAGAATAAGATGACAGCATGCGAAAAGGGCTTTAGAAACGTATAATTGCTACACTATCGGTCCAATCGTATCGTGCAGGGTATTATATGACAAAATTTATCTAATGCAATACAATGACAAAGAAAAATCAAGTATAGCGGCATGCCATAAAGACCTTAAACTTATTTTAATTTAAATTAGGCTAAACGTTTTTCTATTAATGCCCAAAATCATTCATTTTGTCTCTACAGGTTGGACTATATCATGACTTCTGTATTGGCTAACAACTTTAAAGAATAAAAAAATATTGATGCTTATTAAAATATGTATATTTAGCGTCTTGTACAGGAAGTAGCTCAGACGACGATGACGTTTCACCCAGGGAGAAGGTCCAGAAGAACTCTGGTGGTCTGTCTGACTTTTGTGTACGTAATATCAACCAACACGCTTTTGGAAGACGTGAAATAGAAATAGCTGAGCAAGGTAAAGTCATCTTTATGTTAGTGAAATTTTTATATGATTTCTATTAATTGTGTGCAAAAAACGAGTCCGTATATGTCAGAATTAGATTTAAGTAATGAATTTTGCAAATTTTTATATATGCACTAAATAAAAATGTATTTTTAAGAAATGCCTGGTATAATGGCTTTGAGGAAGCGTGCCGCCGAGGACAAACCCCTGAAGAATGCTAAAGTTGTAGGTTGTACTCATATAAATGCCCAAACTGCTGTACTTATTGAAACCTTAGCAGCCCTGGGTGCTAGTCTTAGGTGGGCAGCGTGCAACATCTATTCCACACAGGTATTTATAATCCGCTGGTAGTTTTCTTCCCTTCAGTGCTCATTTTGTTTCAGAATGAGGTTGCTGCTGCTTTAGCAGAAGCAGGTTACCCAATTTTCGCTTGGCGTGGTGAGACTGAGGAAGATTTTTGGTGGTGTATAGATAGGTGTGTTAATTCGGAGAATTGGCAGCCAAATATGATTTTGGACGATGGAGGGGATGCTACACATTTAATGTTAAAAAAATATCCCGCTATGTTTAAGCTAATTAAAGGTGAGTGAAATGTTGTTTACAATAATTATAAAAACTGAATAAGTGTTACGAACTAAACCAAGAAGAAAAGTGGAGATGTATATTATTTATGTTTTGTTTGTTTGTTTATACTTGTAATGTTAATGTTACCAAAATTTTTTATGAGGAATTTATTGCGCCGCAATGGTGTAAAATTAATAAGAAATATATGGTACATTGTCTTCATATACAGATTGAACGAAATAAATTCGGAACATACGAAATATTATGTATTTCGGCTCAATTCCGGTGTAGATGGTTGGCCAACAAAAGGTTGTCAAATAATTATATTATAAAAATCCAATACTTCAGCGAGCTGCTGGATTCTGAAATCATAAAAATTGAAAGTTACACATAAATCTACGATTTTATTATGCTGTCAAACCACTTATCGCTTCCTTAGACAAGCCCTTCTTTGAGCGGTGTTGCCAACCTCATTCCTTTAGATGTTTCTCAAATAAGCTGTTAACCATAAAATATTTACAGGAAAAGAAGAAAATAACTACAAACCAATAAGTTTATTTTTGTTATTAGTCTGTTGTAGTAGGTTGGTAAATACAATGAAAAATATAGGCAAATATCCGATTTATTTAAAGACACGAAGAAGATATAACTATCAAAAAGATCCGCAAATCGGATTATCACACGGCGATTGGCAACATTGTTACGCAAACAACATTGTTACGAGACAGATAGTTGAACGATATTTTATACAATGTCTATCCCCAGGTATGGATTTATTTTTTTCCAAGTTTTATATTGGTCCACTATTTCAAATGTAGTTCAAACAGACATATATTAAATTGAATGATCCGTTTTAAATTCGTTCAATCTGTAAAGACATCAATGACATGTGGTTTTAACAGGACGGTGCTGCGTGCTACACAGCTCCTGCCACATTAAACATTCTGCACGAGCTATTTGGGAATACGTTCATCTCACGTGGAGGTGCTGTGAACAGGTCACCGAGATCGTGCATTTGGCCCTTTCTTCTGGGATTTTCTTGTCGCAAGTCTCTGCGAACAAGCCAGAAACCACAGCGGCTCTCAAAGCCAACATAACCCATGCCATCGGTCAAATTCAGCCTGATTTATGCCCCAGAGTCATGGAAAATTGAACATTTCGGATACGCGACACCCAGCCATCTAGAGGCAGATATTTGAACGATGTTATATTCCATTCATAATGGCATCGAGTGGCCTTTCAAACGAATAAAAAATTTCGATTATATTTCGTACACACTTTGTTTTATTTAAATTTAAAGATAGGAACTGCTTAATTAAAAATCATATACTTACGTTTTAGCGAGAATAATACCTACGTAGAAGCGCAAAGGAAGACTATTTATTACTTTAACTAACTGGAATGGGTCGAAAACTGGTAGTAAAACACCGACAACAAGGATTATCATTAATTTGAGGGAATTTGGAGAGAAAACCATTTGCAATTCTACGTTTTTTGTTACAGGAATAGTAGAAGAAAGTGTCACTGGTGTGCATCGCCTCTACCAGCTGTCCAAAGGTGGTAAACTTACCGTCCCCGCTATGAATGTCAACGACTCCGTGACAAAAACCAAATATGATAATTTGTATAGTTGCCGAGAATCAATTATTGATAGGTAAGTACTGATTATAAATTGATCATTTTTCTAATACTTCACAGTACCTATTTTTTCTATTCTAAGATTCAATCATCCTTCTAAATGTTTATCTCTTATCTCTGTATGTTTATATCCAAAACTTCTTCATTGTGTTTCTTTCTTGTTTTACACTGTGCTCTTCGATTATTTTTTTAATAGTATTATATCGTCGTTGCGCGTGCAATATCTGCTATGTGTTGAACCCCAAATTTTACAGGAGAGGAAAAAAACTGTTCAACTTTTTATTCAAACCCCTTAGTTCTTATTTTATTTCCTGATCATACTATTTGCATATGTTTATACAATGTGGGGATCGTAAATATTGGTTAAAAAATAGTTTTAAAATAATTTTAGCTAAAAATAGTTTAATTTGACACATGACAGGTGTCACTAGTCAAACACAAAAGTGTTGATCTATGCAGATTTAAATAATATAGTGATAAATTTAGCCCATTTACAAAATCTAATAATGTTTGATGCAAAATTAGGTAATAGTAATTATACTTATTAAACACATCTTAGAAGAACAAAGAAAAAAATCTACAGATTATGTTTTAATTTTTTTTCTTTATCCGGTACGTACGCTAACTCGTCGTAAAACGCATGGTGGTCTGGTTCTATCACTGACTTCAAGTCCATGAGATGATCGTATTTAGTTTTTGCGATAGGACGTGGGGAGGAATACAATGGTTGTGGATTTTCATTGCCACATTTTCGTCTATGGCTGGTTCATTATGGCAGAGTCGAAACTATATCTCTCCATTAGGCAAGTATTTTAGACCACGAATATCAGTGACAACAGGGTCTCCTACCTTTTTACCGGCTCTGAGTGAAGGTAGTGTACTTGGAAGTGCTTCATAATTGAAGAAAAAAGTATAATCCAACAGAATAACATGGTATGGTTTCTTTGGCCTTGCTGCTCTCATACGAGATATGTAATCTGCTGGGGAGTTAATGGGAGGCTGAAAGTAGTGTTCAAGAGTGGAATGAACAGAATCCGCTTGCATCATAGTATGCCCCTTTTCCAGGTATAATTGTTCAATAATAATATTCCTAGATTTTGCAGTATCACTTAAGACAGAAGCTAAAAGTTTATTTCGATTTTGATGATTACAACCATCTGAAATTAAGGCTACATGTTTATAGCCTCCGTCTAAGTTTCAGATGAAATGATTTAAGCAAGAAGTGAATTCATTACTGGTTACACCACCATTAACCTCATGCCATACATACAGGGTAACATTACTATCATTTATTTCGTAGATGGTAAAATTATGGATTTGTAACTTTTGCTTATAGTACATCTTAGATGCCAGAGTTTTTGGACTGAGAAGTACACTCTGCATATCCATCACCAGTTTCTGATGGCTTGCACTTTCTTGAGCTTCACGCTTGGCAGCTCTAGCTTCATCTTTCATTTTAATATGCTTTTGAAATGCATTTTCATCTACAATACCTAGCTTTTGACCGCAGCATAGATATCACACTGATCTTTCCTGTGGTTATGAATTGCGACGTTTTCCTCTTTCAAAACACCAGTGAAAAGCTTTCTAGACCCAGGCTTAAATTCGTTCTCTTAGCACCATTCTTCATAAACAGAGTGCATATGGCATATAGACCTAAAAGTAGATTCCATATAAGTCTTTGTGGAGGAGGACCTGCAGTAATGGCTGGGAACTTTTGGTGAACAACTTAGCCATTCTCGAATCTTGTCACGCACATTAGATTTTCTCTTTCGTTTAGCAGATGGTAGATCTATTTGACCAAGTTCATCTTCTGAGTCTTCGAGATTGTCATTCATGTCCATGGGAAGGATACTAGAAATCTAATTCCATCTATTAAACGTATCACGACCCAAATCCAGGGTATTCAACAGAAACGTTCTGCAAACTCTGATTTTTTGCCATCGTTGCTTGGCAAATAAATGTCATGACCTGCATTCTTCTTTGTTTTAATATCGACCTGTTTCCTTCTTCTTTTAATATCTCTAGTAATTATTAGGCCTTTCACGTAAGCCTGTTTTTCTCCCCATGTATTGAATTTCCAAAATTGTTGAAAAAGTTTTTTTTTGATGTATTTCATTCAAAATTATTTCATTTTCACAGCTCAAGGCATCGTCAATTATGCTAAGCAGTTCATTATCAGTCACTAATATAGATGTTCCTTCTGGTTCACTGTTTTTATTATTATAAGTAGTGTTAGTAGCGTTAGTATGATCAAAAAGTAGAACAATTATTAGAAGTTAACGGAGAAACCACGGGACCAGAAATAATGAAAGAGGAAGTTATGTATGCTATAAAACACACAAAAGGCAGAAAAGCTCCAGGACCCGATGAAATACCAATTGAACTATTGAAGATAATTAATGAAGATAATATTGATGTCTTGGTAGACCTTTTTAACTCCGTATACAAGACGGGACACATACCCAAAGAGTGGCTTCTCTCAACTTTTGTGACGATTCCAAAAATCACAAATGCTAAAGATTGCAATGACTATCGAACAATTGCGTTAATGAGCCACACATTGAAAACCTTCCTTAAAATCATACATAACAGAATCCACATGAAATTAGAACAAGAAATAAGTGATTCACAGATGGGTTTCAGAAAGGGTCTAGGAACTAGAGAAGCATTATTTGGAGTCCATGTTCTGACACAACGATGCCTGGATATGAATCAGGACATATATGCTTGCTTTATAGATTTCAAGAAAGCTTTTGATAGAGTTCAACATGAGAAGCTTTTAAGTATTCTTAAGACTAAAAACATTGATAGTAGAGATCTACAAATTATATCGAATCTGTATCAAAACCAGAAAGCAAGAGTAAGAGTCGAAGGAGAACTGACAGAGGAAGTAAGTATACTTAGAGGAGTTCGACAAGGGTGTATCCTTTCACCACTCTTATTCAACGTCTACAGTGAAGTGATTTTTCAAGAGGCTTTATTGGATATCGTGGAAGGTATTTATGTCAACGGAAATAGCATTAATAATATTAGATATGCCGACGATACTGTCATATTTGCAAGTGACATGGAAGATCTACAGTACATAATACAACATGTATACAATGCATGTGAAAGTTACGGACTGCAAATGAATCTCAAGAAAACGAAATCAATGATATTCTCAAAAAAACCACAAAATGTAAATAACCTGATCATCAATAATACAGCGATAGAAAGTGTAAAAACATATAAATATTTAGGAACGTGGCTAACCGAAGATGAAGATCAAGTAAAGGAGATCAGATCTAGAATAGAAATGGCAAGAAACACGTTCATAAAATTGAAGAAATTACTTTGCAACCGTAACCTTAATCTAGAGATTCGCACAAGAATGCTACGTTGTTACGTCTTCTCTACTTTACTATATGGCATGGAAGCGTGGACAATAAAGCAGTCTGAAATCAAAAAATTAAACTCATTTGAGATGTGGTGCTACAGGAGAATGCATAAAATATCGTGGATTGAAAAAGTAACTAATATAGAGGTGTTACAAAGAATGAAGAAAGAATGTGAAGTCATAAAAACTGTTAAAATTAGAAAGATTCAATATCTGGGACATTTAATGAGGGGTGAGAAGTACGTATTACTGAGGTTGATTATGCAAGGGAAGATACAAGGGAAGAGAAACCCAGGACGACGCAAAATGTCCTGGCTGAGAAATTTGAGAGAGTGGTTCGGCTGCAGCTCATTAGAATTGTTCAGAAATGCGGCCAACAAAGTTAAAATAGCGATGATGATTTCCAACCTCCGCTAGGAGAAGGAACCCGAAGAAGAAGTGTTAGTAATAGCTGTGAGTTCACTATTTGTACCAACATTTGTACCACATTATCTTCTTGCCTCGTTAGTCCATTATCTGAAAAGAAAAAAATTAGAAATTCATATTTTTGGCCGAACAACTTAATATTGCTTAATTTTTGCGAAAAGTAATTCAAACAAATACTTATGACATATTATACTAAAGTCGATCAAACAATTTAGCTGAGATATTCATTCAAAAATTTAACGGAAATGTAAATTTTTGCTTTATTTTAGGTTATGTTATTTACTTTTATCTGATTCTCAAAGCAAAAATGTTGAAAACACGTATATTGTTGTTATAGAAATGTATACCTTCACTTACCTTAATCGGATATCAATCAGCTTCAGAAACTAAATAACTTAAACTACCAAAACGAACAGTTTGCTTTTAAAAACAATGCTAACACACAACAAAACCAATGATATTGCTACACATGACAGTTATTTACACTACTAGTCGATCTGTTACGTGAAACACAGAACAGTCAACTACAAGAAAATACTTGCCGTGTGCTGCATTATCACATGGCTGATATTACGAGGTTAGAATTTTTCCGGACTCACATGACAGATTTGAATTTTGATTTAATACCTTACAAAATAAGTTTGTATCACATAGCAGATATTACTGACCCATAGAATGACCAAGCCTGAGCACATTATGCAAATAAAAGCAAATTCAATACATGTGCACATGGCAGATATTACACGCGCAACGACGTTATATTAATTATGCTTTGTTTTCGGAGTTTATAAGACCTAATCGTTGTCTGCCAAAAGTCATAGAATAATTTTCGTTACAACACACCGACCGTGACAACCTACACTCCTTTTTTAATCTGTCAAATTGTTTTTAGCTTAAAACGATCAACTGATGTTATGTTCGGTGGAAAACAAGTGGTGGTGTGTGGATATGGTGAAGTAGGAAAAGGATGTTGCCAGGCACTAAAAGGATTTGGTTGTGTAGTTTATGTTACCGAAATAGACCCAATTTGTGCATTGCAAGCAAGGTAAGCATGCTTCCTTTCCTCTTTACAGTTATTCAGATCACAAGAGGTAGGTCGAAGAAATGAGATTTTGATCGCTCAGTTATTTAAATGGATTTTATGATGTCATTTTCCCATCTGATAGGTTTTTATCTTGTGGGATAAAGACATTATGTAAAAGGCTAATTTTAAATATTGAAAAATATACAGTGTATTTTTTTAGTATGGATGGTTTTCGAGTAATAAAATTGTACGAAGTAATTCGTAATGTCGACATAGTCATAACAGCCACTGGGAATAAAAATGTAGTCACTAGGGAACATATGGATAAGATGAAGAATGGTTGTATTGTCTGTAATATGGGCCATTCTAATACAGAAATTGATATTGTAAGTATAAATATAAAAAATCCTAATTATGTTCAAATCGATAATCTTCTCTTCCAGAATAGCCTAAGAACACCGGACTTAACATGGGAAAAAGTCAGATCCCAGGTGGATCATGTAATCTGGCCAGATAGTAAACGGATAATACTTCTAGCCGAGGGTCGTCTAGTCAACTTGAGCTGTTCTAGTTTACCTTCTTTCGTTGTGTCTATAACATCAGCAACTCAAGCTTTGGCCCTCATCGAACTTTTCAATGCTCCCCAGGGACGATATAAATCCGATGTGTATTTACTGCCAAAAAAGATGGGTAAGGCTTGAACGTTAATTTACGTAAAGAAATATGAGCTTAAATTAACATAAAACCGAGAATAATTAATGAGTATCACAGAAAAAAATGCATGAAACGTCACTTAAGTGTTTTTTATTATTCTCATTTTCTAGTGATTTTCTTCATTTTTGTTTAGATGAATATGTTGCCAGTCTGCATCTGCCCACATTTGATGCTCATTTGACGGAATTAACTGATGAACAAGCCAAGTATATGGGGTTGAACAAAGCAGGACCTTTCAAGCCTAACTACTATCGGTAAGTTGCCTTTTGAAGTGAATACTTCTTATCGCTCGGTATGATTTTTTGCACGAGCCCGAAATAATATCTTGCGTGACCCGAAATATCGAGACGCCTGCAGTAACCTTGCGATATACAGTAGTTTATGTAATATACGTACATATACACTTACAAAAATAACATAATTTTTAACAAACGGTATTTTATTTTTTATAACAACTCGAGAACAACTGGATCGATAAGAAAGCTATGCTTCTCCTCCTAGATTGTAACATAAGGATTCTTCTAGGAGGGTTGTTCGGCTGTGATCTTGGCAGATGTTCTGCCCATCTTAGTCTTCCTATTTTAATAAGAGATACTACGTCTTTACCACTAAATATATGTTTATATCTGTGATATATCTCGTAGTTGTACTTCCTTCTCCAAACACCACTTTCACAGATGCCACCGAATATTCTTCTCAGAATCCTTCGTTCAAATATAAGAAGGTTTTTCATCTGCCTTGGAAATGGTCCATGTCTCCGACCATATGTCTCCATATGTCAGCACTAGTTGTATAAGGGTTTTGTATATGGTTATTTTTGTTTTTTGGCTTCTCATTTGTCTATTCCATCAAAAATAGCATTTGTCTGCTAGGATTAATCTTCGCTTGATTTCTTCCGTCATGACGTTCTCCTTGGTGATGAGGGAGCCTAAGTATGTGAATTTGTCCACCACTTTAAAGGTAGAGTTATCAACCGTGAATAGATGGCCGATGTTTCTGGCTCTATTGTTGGGTGTTGATGCCATTATCTTAGTTTTCTCCTCATTTACTTGCAAGAAAATATTTTTTTAGGCTTTTGACAAGGTGGTATACATTTTTTCTAGCTTGCGTGTTGTTCGGGCAACTAGGTCAAAATCATCTGCATATGCCAAAATTTGGGATGATTTATTAAACATATTTACTCTGTTGTCTGGGCATCCCTGACCGCCTTTTCCAGAGCTATGTTGAAAAGGAGACACGCCAGCGCATCTCCCTGTCGCAGCCCAACATGCGTTTCAAATGCCTGTGATTGTTCGCCCTGTATTTCGACTTTGCAAACAACTTTACGCATTGTAGCCTTAACCAACCTTATCAGTTTATCGGGGATGTGGAATTCATCCATAGCAAGTACATATATCCAATGAATTTTAAGCAATGTTTCAATGTTATGTGTAATTTTAATTTGGAACATATGTAGATAAAAATAACAGCTATGTTGATATTACTGTCCCAATTTTTATTGATTTATTTGTATTAATAGGAGTGAATGAGAAATTATTACTAGGTGAACATTTTTTTCTAAAATCTTCAATACGAATAAATAATATCAATACATACAGTACAGTGCAGTAAGGAAAAAAACTTGAGGCATTATAATCATCATTTACAGTCAGTAACAAAAGAATTAAAACCCAGAATAATAGCCTGTAAAGATAGGGACGGTTCTATAATTGGTAACAAAGAACATATACTAAACAGATGGGCGGACCATTTTGAAGAACTGCTTAGTGGCAATCACGAAGATGGCGAGATTGAGGATCCCATATTTCAAATGAATGAAGATGATCGGCAACCACCCTCCCCCCACCCCCCCCCCCCCCCGACCATGATGTAACGCCATTGATGATGACTATTTCATTTTTCTTGATGGGCTTATGGGTCTTCATGGCTCCAGCCCTTATGTATAATATAATAATAATATTTCCATAAATTTGTTGTAGTTGTCAAGATATATCCGGTTGCCAACATTATTGGAATACACTCTATATGTATAAACCTGTACTAATATTGTTTTTTATTGTTTCAGGTATTAACACGATCTATTACTTTACCACTCGTAAACTAGTAAGTCGAGTTAATGTTGTTGCTGGTTTGTATAGTAGATCCGATGAAACATCACACCAGTTTTTTAGAAGCAGAAAGCTGTAGTATATTTGAATCTTTCCACGTTTCCACGCTAATATTTCGGGAATTGAACAGTTGAAAATTTACATTTTTGTAATTATTTTGTACTTTCGTTTGAAATTGTCTCTATTTGTCAATAGCGGCTTGATGGATATGTAGGGGAGAATTAAATACGTTAAAAAGATTATTTTACAAGGTGAAACGTAAATTTAGCCTCAAAATATCTAGGCTTGTCTAGGCTTAGTTATTTTGGGATATTAGATGATTATATACGGATATATGTCACAATAATGTGAACAATAACAAGATATACAGTAAAGATTTTTTAAATTGTGACCAGATTAACCTTAAGGTCAACTTTTGCCTACATATTCATGTTCGTTTTGCCTAAATTAGATCTTATTGGTAAAATTGATAACTTTTCTATGATGCGCACATTCTATGTACTACTGTACCTGCTTAATGAATTCTTAACGAGAAACGTACCGTAGCATAGATGTGGGGATTTAAAAAGACGTATCTTTTTTACAGAGCTGGGAATTTTTTTTGCAAGGCTTCACATGGGCATGCAATGTACTTAAATATTCTTCTTTCTGCTTCTTTTGCCATAGCCAAATGTTCAATGTGGTTGTGGCGATGTGATCTTCTTGTACCAATCGAATCCCAGGCGATTTTTATAATTACGTTTTTTTTTACGTGAAAATCTGCGTTTTATTTATTTATTTATATTGTGTATCTATTATGCATATTCAGCTTCATCGATTTTGCGTTATCAGTCAGTCTGAGATAACACTCGACCAAAACTATCAGGTACTAAAAAGATACGAATATTAGGGACAAATGACATAAACAACACAGGTTGAAATAAAGATAAATCTATTAATTTAACGTATATACAATAAATAAAAATAAGATGTATTCTATGTCTCCGTCTGGATCCCGCGATGAGTGAACTCCCCGGCGAACGTCTGTAAAAGACAAAAAATTATTATTACTAACAAATAAATGAAATACGCGAAGTCGATCGCACGCAGACTTATACTCGCTTCCACCCCAATTCAGCGGAAGCTCTGAACGCACTCGCAAACAAAACATTCGATTGTGCAGATCCACGGTAATGTTTAATTCACAATACCGATGGGCTCTGCTTGGTTAACGACAGAGCACGATCCTCAATACGGAAATCTCTCTGTCTGGGTTGGCTCGCAGATTCACTACACCAGCGAGCCCGGGAGTCTAGAGCGCTAGCCACAAGACTATTTAATTCCGCCAGTCGCTCGCCTTAAATAGCCGTTCCGAATCCCACTTCGTCCTCTCGTCGTAGAAGTGGATGCGCGAATATCGACACTCCCACGGTTCGAACTGTTGAACGATCAGTACATCATTACAATATAACAAAAAAGGTGATATGGGATGTGATGAATATACAAATCAACAAAAAATGGAAACATATCACAGGTCTACAAACAAAAAACTATTTGAAAGATGTTTTAAATTTGACAAGTGATTTTATATAATTTTGATGCGCTGATTCCAAATCTGCAAACCATTTTTTTCTATCACGTAAGATATTTTAGCAAATTAAAAAATAAAAAAAAGCACTAAATGTGCTTATAAATACATTTATTAATATATTTTAAAAATAAGAGTAATGCTCAAAATAAAGAAAACTACATATTTTGTATGCACAACTTAATGAAATCTTTTCCTTTTTGTCAAAAAACTGCGTTTGGTAGAAATGTTTCTATAAATTTTGTCAGGATTATCACGTTGTAGCATCCAACAGTAGCCTGCCATCATGGATACGGTCCATTTACCCTGTTAACGGCTTTCCATCTGTTAAATGTCTTCGTGGAAACGTTCCCCTTGCTCTTCGCTAACAGCTCCAAGATTTCCTGGAAATTGGTCTAGATGAGCGAATAAAAAATGTACTTTTAAACTCATATTGCATCCTAGAATACGAAAATTTTGTAGCATTTGTGTGACAATGTTCTCATAGTCTGGAACTTTCTTATTTCCCAAGAACATCAAACCAAATTTTATATGCAGAGGGGGCAATAAAATTCTTTCACGATCAACTAAAGCATTGTCTTTTATGTTTTTACTTTTTGGCGTAAGGTTTTCTCTTGTGGGCCATTCTTTTGGTCCAATGTTTATCTCGTGCTCGGCTGTCTCATTCACAAATGAAGCAAAGATATTTAGTATAACCTGACTGTTGCCCAAGTAGCATACACAGAACTTTTAGATCTCCACAAAGCATCCAGTTATGGTCTCGGTATTTAATTTTTTCTAAGACAAGTTCCAAGTTTTCGCATGTATCTTTAAGGTAAACAGAATGAGCGACCGGAACAGAAGCCAGTGTATTACCATTATGCAATAAAACACCTTTTAGACTACTTTTGCCAGAGTGAATAAATAGTCACCATTCTTCCTTTTCATAAGAGGCAGCTCCTAGCTTAATAACTAAGTCGAAGACATTGTTGCAATATACTAAAGAATCTTCTTAAGTAAAATATGGACTCAGGTCCTTTTCTCAATTTCTGTAGAAACTGGTTGATGTAACTGGAGCCAGCAAATTTTTATCACGAAGTCTAGAGGCTAGAAGTTCTAAGGCATCTTTGGGAAGATTTAAGTCTCTTATTAAATCGTTTAATTCCATTTGATTAAATAGTTGTGGTCCTTCGTCTGCTTCAAAAGTAACGTCGGGATCTGTGGACTCAAATGCAGACTGTTGTGAATCACACGATAACACATTATCTAACACCTTTGGTGGAATAGGTATGGGTACATCAGGACCATGAGAAATAGGCCTAATAGCAAATGTTAGTTTCGGGTATAAGATACTTTTTTTATTCTTACCATTAAATCCCTTTAAATCGCAGGAACAAAAATAGCAATCATCAGAATGGTTTTGTCGCTCACACCATGGGAACTCCAGAACTCAATGACTCCACAAAATATGTGGTGCCCAAGATTTGTCTTGTTCTCCTATTTTCACTCCAAAATAGGCATAATACGCATTACGAACAAATAAGTTTATGTTATATCTTTGTTTTGCAACCAGAAAACTGCCACAAATATAACAAAAGCAGTCTGCATTATTAACAGAATGTTTCCTTTCCCCAGCTCGAAAAAAGGATAGAATAACAAATAAATAGCACTAATTCGAAACACAGCCATAAACCTCCTCGAACTTTTAAAAACAAACAACTGATTTTGATGCGTTTATTTACGACTGGGAGAGGTGCAGCCGCTTACAGTGTTGCCACAATTCAGAATTTTATTAAAGTATTTTTGGACTGAACTGTTTGTGCCATATATTTACACTAAAAACCGTTTTATCTAATTTTATATGTAAACTTTTCGTATAATGAAGGAATTTTTATAAGATCTCGATTTGCAAAAAATTGGAAGGTGATAGAAAAAAAATAATGTCAGTTTCGGATTCAAGAGGTCAAAATTACCTAACAAATTATGTTTATTTTAAAACATCAAATTCATTGTTGACCTGTTATTCACAATATTCCGCATATACGAAAAAAAAAAGCCAAGAAGTGATGGAGGTAAACTACCAAAATTGTGGTTTATTCCCATTAAATATAGTACATAAAATAGACAAGGCTTAAGAAAATGGTTTCAAAACCTAATTAAAATGAAGATTGTGATGAATATGCATATGATAGATACTGTTCTACTTTTAATACTTTTCTCAATGAGTTTGCATAAACCTACCCTTTATCCACTATCAATAAACTCACTTGCCACAATATTATATGATAGTGTCGGTTATATTATCAGTATTCTTATATGTTCAGAAGCAATGGCAAAAAACACCAAGAATCAATGACGCTTAATATAAAGTTAATCAATTTTTACAATTTATAACACTGAATCTGTTGTAGGTTTAGATTAGTACTGACACTTCAATTACCTATAGAGTAAAGTTTACCTAGATATGAAACCATAAGATTATACACTTAGGCGCCAAAAAACCTTCACCTGAACGTTTTATGTGAGATTTATAAAGAATAAGATTATGTATATTGCTCGCAAATTTTGTTCTAAAACAAAAAGACCAGTTGTTAACAAACAAAAAGATTCTGATAGTATATAGAACACCATAAACCAAAATAGTTTTAAGTTTAATCAAAAATGTGATAATTAACCACGCTAACATAATTTTTATATAGAAATCTTTTTAATAAAATCTGTTAGGTATGTGTTATTGTGGGGCTTAAGTGTATATATAGAAAGAAGCATGTCAGGGCAATTAAGTTGTAAACAGTAAAAAGTTAGGTGAATTGTTAACTAATTGTAAAGGGATATGAGTTGTACCTATAAGTAGTTGTGTAATAAAAATATTTTTTGAAAAAGCTACAGACGTTTTATTTAAAAATATCACAAACCAGAGCGGAGGCCTCTATGGCTTTCAAGCGCGTAATGTGGAGGAACCAATTGAAAAGGAATTACTATACAGATAAAAGTATGCACCCAATAGTACTGTTACGATAAATATGACTCATATTTAACCTGTAAACATTTTATTATTCTACTAGTAGGTTCTCCTCCGATACAAAACTGTCTGCCTTGGATGCGATTGGAGAGAGTTCAGGAAGGTCAAAGTCCGCTTCGAGGGAACTCCAGAATAGCGGATATTTGATGTATATAAAGAACATTTTATAATAAATAACGTTAATAAATTAGACTTATAAATACAGTTCATTGGTGTCAAAAGTGGAATATTTTAAATAAATTGTGAAAATGACTACGATTTATGAGCTCACAGTTACGAATTTAAGAAAACATCTCGAGGGCAGAGAATTAGCTACTACCGGAAAAAAGGCTGATTTAGTCCAACGACTAAAAAACGCTTTGGAGGAAGAGGGTTTAGACCCTGAAACTTATATATCTGAAGACAAACATGCTGCTGTCATCTCATCGATTTCGAAATTAGAGAACAAAGTTTGTGGCGATATTTCGAAAGATTCTTCTGATGTAGCCAAAGTTTCTGGTGACATCGCATCATTAGAGAACAAAGTTTCTGGCGATATTTCGAAAGTTTCCGGCGACATCGCTTCTTTAAAAGACAAAGTTTCTAACGAGATTTCTTCTCTGGAAAGCAAAGTTTCTGCTAACATCTCTTTGGAAATCTCTAAGGTCACTTCTGAGATGTCTGTCCTCGGCGTTAGAATATCTTCGTTAAAAAAACAAGTTGCTGCCGATAAGTTGGCCTTCGAAGAAAAGATAAAAGAGATGGAGATAAAGATGAAGGAAACAGGAACAGCAGAGAGAGGAAGCAATCCAAGTACAGTAGAGACAAAAGAATTTCTTTGGCGGTATCGGGATATTTTCGTACCGAAGGGAGGAAAGACGGGAAGAACTACCGTTGTTAAGCATAAAATTGATACTGGTAATGCTAAGCCAATTCGTCAAACAGCTCGACGATTACCACAGGCGAAAGGGGAAGAAGCTGAAACGATTGTTCAGGAAATGAAGAAAGACAGGGTGATAGAACCTTCTACAAGCCCATGGGTCTCTCCGGTGGTCCTCGTTAAAAAGAAAGACGGAACGACGAGGTTCAAACTCTTTTGAACTGTTTTATAAAAAGAGACATCATTGACAAAACTGCAGTATTGGATATAGATTATAAAAATCCCAGAAATATGTTACCAATTCAGGACATTTATTTTGTTTACGACATTTCTCCGTCTAGTCTAGATGAAAATGAGTTAGAATTTGTAAAGTTAAAGTGTTTAGAATTTTATATAGAGGGTCTGGAGCAGTTATTAAAAGGTTTCCCATAAAAACTAACATCTTTGAAGATTTGCAGTTCATAAATCCCGATTTGGTGAACTCAATTGCACATATTTCACCAAAATTGGGCAATATTGGGATAAATCAGGGATAAAACTCAACACTGAGTTGTCTGAATCTAATGATATATTAGCATTTTGGAGTAAAGTAAATGAAATGAATTATGGTAGTGGACTAAATATGTTCCCCAATTTATCATTACCTGTTTTTAATGTATTGACCTTAACGCATTCGAGTGAAAATGTAGAAAGGATTTTTTCGGTTGTCAATATATTAAAAAATAAGCAGAGAAATAAATTAAGCACAAAGACTATTGAGGTACTACTACATAGCAAGAGAATAGTTGACTCAGACGGAACTTGTTATAATTTTAAGGTAGAAAATGGTATGCGAAAACTTTTTAATAAAAACATTTACGAGCAGAACTCTGATATTGACGAGATATAATCGTTAATTTTTGTATAATTCGGTGTTGCGTTTTGTTTTACCATATTTTTTAGGTTTAGTTTTCATTTCAGTTAATGTTTTAGAAGTTTATTTAGGTTACTTTTTTAATAAAAATTATGTTTTTAAAAATTTTGTATGTATTTTCTGGTGAAAATTATTTACAAATGAACATACTGTTATAAAAAAGGCATTTAAATAGACCATTGGCATTAGATAATATAAAAAAAAACAACAAATTTGTCATCTTTATGGTATTTCTACCGTTTTTTTTAATGTATTTTTCAAGTTTGCCGTACCGCAAAATGGTTTATGTCACCTGGCAACACTGTGAACAACGTTACCAAGAAAGATAGCTACCCTCTGCCTCGGATGGACGACACATTGGACACATTGGCTGGAAGTAAATTGTCTTCTACTTTGGATTTGAAGTCTGGATGCTGGCAGGTAGAAATGGACCCAGTAGATAAAGAGAAGACAGCCTTCACCACAGGATCTGGATTGTGGCAATTCAACGTTATGCCATTTGGACTCGTAATGCTCCTGCGATATTTAAGAGGCTTATGGAAAATGTGTTGAAAGGGTTATAGTTCTCAACAAGTCGTCACGTACAATTTTATGTAATTTACAAATATTGTTTGCTAATAATTTTACATAATACTGTACATTATTTGGTTCTAATACTAACTTATCAACGTTTATCTTTTATTAGTAGCAGTAGTATAATAAAATGTGCATGAAATAAACATTTGTTTCAAATACTTTCTTCCAAGTTATTTAGTAATTATACCTATTACAAAGCAATTAGAGTAATTCTTGTATAGAATATGTTTAAAAGCTTGATAGATCCAGGGCCTTAATTAGTCTTTATTTGTTCTTTGGAGTGCGTAAACATATTCGAGTTACGATTATTTGTACCATCTTGGATGTACTGTTACTGTTTTGTTATTGTTATTATTTGTTGGTGGCTGTTGTTGTGATTTTCTGTTGGCAATTATTGATATTTTCTGTTGTTGGCTATTGTTATATTTGACGCCGAATTTTTACCGCAAAATGGAAAAAATTGTTCAATGAAAACTTGGAAAAGCTATGAAACTTTCAGAGAAGCAGATACTAATGAATATTATTAATTATCATCTTAATCAGGATAACAACGATTCTGTATCAAGTGTAATTAGGAAAGTATCAGAAATGAGTGGTGTTTGCAATAAGACTCTGTTTCGCATACGACAGGAATATTCATCACCTGCTGGATTAAATCTCCAAAGAGCAGGCCCAAGAAGCCAAAGGTTGGTAATTCTCGTGACAACAAGTACGATGAAGGTGTCATGGGCCAAATTCGTAGAATAGTTCATCAATTTTTTCGTGACAACATACTACCAACAATAAATACCATATTAGCTGTTGTAAATGTCCAAGAAACTTTGCCCAACTTTTCACGGGCCACACTACATCGCTTGCTGAGTGATATAGATTTTATGTTTATAAAACGTGGCAAAAATTCAATTTTGATTGAAAAACCAGAAATCATCTCGTGGCGTCATCGTTATTTACGCGCAATTTGTAAATACTGTTGTAACGACTATTTTGCTTACCACAGGGTAAGAATATGGGGGACAAGATTGAGCAAACAAAATAATCGAAACAAGTGCATACGACACTCAGTTGGTTGTTGGAGAGCTGGGTCGTGGATAAGTTGAAGATATTGGGGGTTAGATTGGGGCAACTACAAGAAAAGAAATAAAGGGGTACTTATACAAATCTCTTGGGACAAACAGAATGAAAATAAACGGAAACACCTCAAGAAATTTAATATAGGGCGCCACTTGAGGTGCCCAATTATACCTATTACAACCACTAGTTGTAACTAGGGAAATAATTGTATAACATAAAAAATATAGAAAAAAAATATCTTTTTCAAATAAAACTCAAAACAGATCAGAGAAACAAATTAAACATTTATTTTTGTCTCAAACAAAACAGATCAAAAATACATATTATAAAAGAAACATATCATATAACATAATACAAATAACAAAAACTTACATGTTCTTTGTTTACTATATTATGGCCAATTAGATTATAAAAAATTAAGGATCCCTTTTAATGAAAACATATAAATTTAACCTTATATATGAAATATCGTTTCTACATAATAATCAAATTAAAATTGTCATAACAAAAAAACAAATTAAACTTGCTGTCAGGTATCACATTTAATTTTGATAACAAAGAATGAAAGCAATTATTACTTTAGCCAAAAAATATGTCTTTACTTTGAAAAATTAATATATTGAATTGTTACCTTAAAATTTACATATTTCGCATTTAAACTTTGAAACTTGCTACATCTCTGGTACTGAAACTGCAAGGACGAAACTCTCGAACAAGGGGAACCATTTCCATACTCAGGAACAAAAGAAGACCATCTCCATAATTTGGAACGCCGATCTGACGTAGATGGGTTGTATCAAACAAGAAAAACGACAACAAAGCTAAGGGACATCCTATATAATACTTTTCAAAACGGTATCTATACAAATCTTCTAATGTACTCCAAAGAAAAAAATAGAAATAGTGGTGACTCTTTTCTAAACTGACATATTACATAGAGTCTAATATTCTCAACCAATTTTGCCGGTCTCTTTACCGACAAATCAAAACGTCTCCATTCGAATCTTTTCTTCCACTCTACATTGTAGCACGTCTGCCCTGCTTGGAACTTAAATGTCGACTCCCTTGCTTCGTTACATTTTACAAGAAACTCGCCAAAAATTTCCCTTCCGTCTTGCAGCTAACCTGTCCAAGGCTGCCAGGTCTAGGGATTTACCCGAATCTAGGGATATTTTAGTATAAAAGTGACAAAGGGATTTTTTTGATATTTAGTGTAAAATCTAGGGATTTTTGACCGGCTCAAATATTTACCCACATAGGCCTATTATAATAACATTTTCTTTAATTCAGGTATAAAACCACTTCGTATTAACAGTATTAAATACACGATCTTTCATTACAACTAATTAAACTAACAGTAAACTACTTAAAGATTCTATTATCAGATGTCGCTAACTGTCCACGTTCTTGGAATCTTTATTTTATGCTACCAAATA